GCTGACTGGTGTGGGTGGCATCCTGGGGTAGTGGTAGTATATCTCAGATAGGGCTGGGCTTTGAAATGAACTAAGGTAAGACAACAGCTCTTGGCCTAGATAAATAGTTCAGAGAACCGACAAGTTGATAAATTAGACACATGTGCAACACTTGGGTATCTTTATTGAGGGAACGTTTCGCCACACAGTTATTTCATCAGTCCTGTACAAAGAAGCATGGTGAAGATCAGAAGGAGTTTAAGGGAATCAGTCCATTAATCTTGAAAAGATTGATGGACTGATTCCCTCAAACTCCCTCTGATCTTCACTATTCTTTGTATAAGACTGATGAAGCCACTGTGTGGCGAAACGTTTCCTCAATAAAGATACCCAAGTGTTGCACATGTGTCTAATTTATCAGCTCTTAGCCTGTAAAACTGATGTGTAAAAAAAAAAATAAAGTAACAACGTTTCGCTCAGTTTAGAGTCTCATCAAGTCATTATGACTTAAGTTCTACGCAGAGTTAGTTTAATAGGTTTATTATGCACCCCATACCCATCCTGTGGGCGGTAGTCAAAAGATTACAGAGGTACATAATGGGTCCAGGGACTGCGCAGAACAAGACTTTATCCCACTAAAAGTTTATTCTCCATCTTGTCGATATTTTTATTCCAAATTTCCGGGTTGTGAACTGGATCTATGAGTACTTGGCCTAATAGAACATTACTGCAGCACCAGTAAGCAAAAAACAGCACCAGTATACGAGTAACAATCCACTAAGTTTTCAAGCACATTAATCACCTTTGATATGCCTCGATAGGCTTTGAGAGGTTTTCCTGCTTCCGGAGCCCGGCCTTGGGCCAGGATTGTCCGGAACTTGCCCAGGCTGTTGCTGTTAGTGCCCCACTGGCCCACATATCCATTTCAGCCTGGTTGATCTGGCACTTGCCGGAGATACTTGTCCAGTTTCCCCTTGAAGATGTCTACACTTATCCCACAGTGTTTTCTGAAAATTTTTCGGATTTTTTTTAAAAAAATCTGCATTGCAAATTTTTGATACAATGCCTTTTTTTGAGTCCATTGCTTTTTCAGGGGATTTATTTTATATTGTCTCCACTATCTCTCACTGTTATGTCATCGCAGGGTGCAGAATTAGGACTAGGTCCTAAATTTTTCCATGTATTTTATTTCCCTCTCTCTTTTTCTCTCTCCTTTTCTCTCTCTCTCATCCCCTCCCTCTCTCCTCTCTCTCCTCTTCTTCTCTCTCCTCCTTTTCTCTCCTCTCTTTCTCCCCTTCTCTCTCTCTCTGTTCTTTCCCGGGCAAATATGCTTTTTTTGGGGACTTTGAGGCTTCTCCATAATTTAAATCTTTTTACGGGGCTGAAATGAAGTGTCTGTTCCAGCTCTATACCCCCCTTCCCTAACGGGGCCCCAAAACTAACAATACCCAAATGAAGAGCGCAAACCATTTAGTGTCACCATCAAACTGTTTCCCTTTTTTTGAATTTCTTTTTATTTACCCCACATTTTCTTGGTGTTTTTCCTGCAAGGTCATAGACATGATCTTTCCTTGGGTTTCACATTTCATTTCGTCATTTCGTATCCCTTACGATTTGTAACAGTGCTCTTTTGAGTTCTTCATTCTTTTCCTTAATAAGCATTGGAACTTTTTTCCTTATGTTTTTCCACCCCCCAAAACGGAAGACTTTCCTTATATCTTCTTCATCTTTCCACGTCTTCTTCAAAGGGGTTGATTGCCCTACTGTTTTTTCAGTATCATCCCCCAAATAAAGATACAAACTGGCGAGTTTTTCTTAATGTCCGCCGGGAACCAGGAAGTCCTCGGGTAATAGCTTTTTTACTTTTTTAATGTTTACTAAAATTAAAAAAGTTTACTAGTGTGGAAAAAAAATGGCTTTCTGCTACTACTGTGTTCTACCGCCAGAAAGTTGACTATCAATATGTCTACTTACCCAAAAAACTTAACTTCCTTATTCTTGCAAATCCTCCCTCATTAGTACAATGACCCTATGAGTGCTTTGTCAAATCTGTTGGAAATTCGTGTATTTACTCTGCATTTTGTTTTTTTTTTCGACCCCTCCAAAATTTGTCAAAAATGGTTTAGCATTGGAGACATGATCTCCACCCTGAGTCCACGATGCTGGGGTTGTCTTTTCATAAAATTTTGTAATTTTGGCCCATCTCGTCCTGTGTCAAGTGTTATATAATATGATGTTGGGGCTTCGGGTCTGTAATTTTTTTAGATAGTGCTTACTATCTATTAGAAAATGATTATGCATCCTTTATTATTTTATTGTCATTTTTTAATTTTTATTATTATTACTAAAATTTTTATTTATATTATTTTTTATTGAATGGGGGAACTATAGCAAATCATTTTTTTTGGAAATTGCAGACTTTCGATATAATCAGGGGACACAAGTTCGATTCTGGACGACGGAAGAATCGCCCGCATTGCTGCCCCCTCCTCACTGCAATAAAAGGTACCTGGGTGTTAGGCAATTTTGTGGTTGCATCCTGGGGGGGGGGGAGACCCCAAGGAACCCACACGGAAAGAGCCACTGTTTGGCTTTTTTGGGTTGTCACCCTTTTTAAAAAACCTTCCAGGGTAAAAAACCGAAGCCCCTCTTTTTTTTCTGGTTCTTTCTTTTCTTCCTTTTGTAGTACCCACTGGTACTCTAGATAACACAATGGCCTTCAAATTTGACTGATACCCCCTAAGACTTCACGAAAGTACCAAAAACCTAGCACCGCAGGGGGTCCTCTTCCCCCGACGCAGGTGCAAAGAACAAAAGTTAGGTACCAGTCTGAGGACCATTTTTCGCAGCCTTCAAGACACACTGAAGAAACAAAGGAAGATAGGGCAGCTTGTGCCAACTGTAAAAAGACTGAAGGTGAAGAGAGCCACAGAATTTCTTTTTTTTCTTGCTATTAATAAAGGGGGATCGACCTGTAAGCTTCTCGCATAGACTCGCCCAGTCTTTCTTTTTTAAAACTGGAAAGATCGAAAAATAATTATTTCGGTGGCCTTTGCTATAATTATAATGTGGTGCCAATAGGTAAAACGGTCAGTAGCAAGAACTTTTTAAAAATTTAAAGCCCTTTCAAAAATTTTTCCTTATAGTTTAATGAATTTTTTTAATTTATTTTTAATAAAAAAATTAAACGATTTTTCTACCAAAAAAATCCTGGGAAACTTACCAAACGCAATTTTTTTAGCCTAATCCAACTAAATATATTTTAATAGGTTTACAAATTTGATAATAAACAAACACATGAATAAATTTGTTTTTGGTAGGTTCAGAATGTTTTTTTGCGATATTATTGCAACTAAAATTTTTCGTTTGCCCTATTTCGGCAAAAGAGTGTTGCTTTTTAAAGCAACAAACATTATCTGTCAGTCCACAGCAGGATTCGAACCTGTACACTCTGTATCAATATATAAAGGGTACACAATACTTCCACCTTTTCCACTTGCAAGCCCAGTGTGTTTTTTTGCAAGCGAAAGGCTAGAGCTTCTTTCAACTCCCCCTTTTTTTTTGGGGCATTTTTTATCGCTCTTTTCGCGATTCTTGCATTAATTTTAAATATAAAATTGACAACGGGGTCACTATGATAAACTGGATTTTAATGTATCCAGGTTTAAATCCATTAAAAAATTTTATTTTTGAAGGGACGGAAAAGGGGATTTTTTTTTTTTGCGTCTTGTGGAAAGGGGTTCCAAATTACATCGTTTGGGTGGAGGAAATTTGGGTAGTTAACTGGGGGCAACTATAGAACAGCAGTCCCCAACCTTTTTGGTATTAGGAAAATTGACCTGCTGGTACTAAAAAAACGGGTCTGTCCCTCTCATACTCCTGCCTACATCGGGTTTTTTAACTCCCCGGGAGGGGGGGGGGGGGCGACGCCCTGTAGGGGGTTTGAGAAAAATTTCTCCACAAGTATAAAGGGCCCAAATTTGAAAGGGCAAATTTAAAACAGGGCCGCTTTTTGTAAATTTTTGGAATAATAACAAAATTTTTGTAAGTGTTGAAGTGTGCAGGGGGAACCAATTAACGAAAAACTAAGATTTTATTAAAGGGCCCAAAACATGAAACACAGCCTGACTGCAGGTTCAGATGAACCCGAACCGCATCGGCTCTGTTTTCAATTATTCTGCTGTTTTTCTTTTTACTCAGTTTAGTATATTTTGATGTAATAACTCAGCGTTCCCCACTATTAAATAGGCCAAAAGCTGGTTTTAAATTTTATTTTAAAGATATGAGCGGCTTTTGTGGGGGTGTGTGTGTGTGTGTGGGGTTTTTGTGTGTGTGTGTTGGTGGTGTTGTTTTTGTGTGTGTGGTGTGGTGTGTGTTTTTTAAAGAAATGAAGTGCTGTTGTGTCGCAGGTGTGTGAAGTGCAGTGTTGTGTCCCCAGGTGTGTAAATCAGTTTGTGTCGCAGGGTGGGGGAGGAGTGGGGCTGTGGGGCAGTAAAGTACTGTGTCAACAGTTCGTCTCACAGACAGCCGACCCATCCCCTGGTCTGTCAACACCTAAAAGGAGGAACTCATAGTCGGGTCATTGTTACCAACCTGTCTACCACGCTTTTTTAAAAAATAAAAAATTGGAAGGGGTTGAAAGTGCAATAAAAACCCAGGGAAGCCCAGGGAACCAAAAGACCAGGAACATCAAGAAGACCAGGAACATCAAGAAGACCGGGGAACATCAAAAGCCCGGGGAACATCAAAACACCGGGGGAAACCGGGGAACCCAGATAGACCGGGGAAGACAGTGAACACTAGGGAAATCGGGGAACATCAAGAAGACCAGGAACAAAAGAAGACCAGGAACACAGGGAAGACCGGGGAAGCCCAGGGAAGCCGGGGAAACATCAGGGAAGCCCAGGAAACCAGGGAACATCAAAAACCAGGAACATCAGAAAGACCAGGAACATAGGGGCCCAGGAAACATCAGAGAAGACCAGGGAAGACCAGGAACATCAGAGTAGACCGGGGAAACCATGAACACTGGGGAAAGATCGGGGAACATCAAAAAGACCAGGGAACTCAAGAAACCGGGAACTCAAGAAGCCCAGGAACATCAGAGAAGACCAGGAACATCAGAGAAACCAGGGAACACAGAGAAAACCGGGGAAGACCATAAAACCCCGGGGAAGATCAGGGAACACAGAGAAGACCGGGGAACATCAGAGAAACCAGGAACACAGAAAGCCCGGGGAACACAAGAAGACCAGGGAACACAGAAAAGACCAGGGAACATCAGAGAAGCCAGGGAACACAGAGAAGACCAGGGAACACAGAGAAGCCAGGGAAATCAGGGAAATCAGAAAAGACCGGGGAAACACAGAAAGACCGGGGAAACATCAGAGAAGACCGGGGAACACAGAGAAGACCAGGGAAACCAGGGAACTCAGAGAAGACCAGGGAAGACCAGGACACAGGGAAGATCGGGGAACACAGAGAAGCCCCGGAACATCAGAAAGACCAGGGAACATCAAAAAACCCGGGGAACCAAAAGACCAGGGAACATCGAAAACCGGGGAAACCAGTAACACTAGGGAAGATCGGGGAACACAAGAGACCAGGGCATCAAGAAGCCCAGGGAACACAAGAAACCAGGGAAGACCATGAACACTAGGGAAGACGGGGAACATCAGAAAACCAGGGAACATCAGAGAAGACCGGGGAACACAAGAAGACCGGGGAACATCAAAAGACCAGGGAAGACCGGAACATCAGGAGACCGGGGAAGACCATTGAACACTAGGAAGATCGGGGAAACATCAAGAAGACCAGGGAACATCAGAAAAACCCGGGGAACATCAGAAAACCAGGGAACACAGAGAAGACCAGGGAAGCCAGGGAACACAAAAAGCCCGGGGAAAAATCAGAGAAGACCAGGGAACACAGAGAAGACCAGGGAACATCAGAAAGACCAGGGAAGCCCGTAAAACACAAGGGAAAGATCAGGGAACATCAGAAAAACCCGGGGGAACATCAGAGAAGCCCCGGGAACATAGAAAAGACCGGGGAACCAAGAAGCCGGGGAACATCAAGAAGACCGGGAAAACACAGAGAAGACCAGGGAACATCAGAAAAGAAAAGGGGAAGACCAGTGAACACTGGGGAAACCAGGGAACATCAGAGAAGACCGGGGAACATCAGAAAAAGACCAGGGAACATCAGAGAAGCCCCAGGGAAACCAGTGAATACTAGGGAAGATCGGGAAAACATCAGAAAAAGAATAGGGAACATCAGAGAAGCCAGGAAACTGGGAACATCAGAGAAACCAGGGAAGACCAGGGAACACAAGAAGACCAGGGAAATCAGAAAAACCCCAGGGGAAGACCAGGGAAATCAGAGAAGACCGGGGAACACCAGAGAAGACCAGGGAACATCAGGGAAGACCGGGGAACATCAGAGAAACCGGGGAAACCAAGAAGACCGGGGAAGACCGGGGAATACAAGAAGCCCAGGGAAACCAGGGAACATCAAAAAGAAGACCAATAAACACAGGGAAGACCGGGAACACAAGAAAAAAGGGAACTCAGAGAAGCCCAGGGAAGACAAGGAAAACATCAAGAAGCCCAGGAATATCAGAGAAGACCGGGGAAGACCAGGGAATATCAAAGACCAGAAGACCGGGGAACATCAGAGAAACCGGGGAAAAATTTCAAGAAGACCGGGGAAACCGGTCCCCATCAGAGAAATCGGGGAACACCGAAGACCAGGAATATCAAGAAACCGGGAAACCGGGGGAATATCAGAAGCCCGGGGAAGACCAGGGAACACGGGGAAGACCAGGGAACAACAGAAAAGGGACCGGGGAAGACCGGGGAAATCAGAGAAGACCAGGGAAGACCAGGGAATATCAGAAAGACCAGAAAAGCCCGGGGAACATCGAAAAACCCGGGGAACATCAAGAAGAGGGGAAAAACCCGGGGAAACATCAGAAAGCCCATGAACACAGGGAAGACCAGGAACACAAGAAGACCAGGGAACATCAGAGAAGACCGGGGAAGACAAGGAACATCAAAAAACCCCAGGGAAGACCGGGGAAATCAAAAAAGACCGGGGAAACCGGGGAGCACCAGAGAAGACCGGGGAAATCAGGAAACACAGGAAACCGGGGAAAACCGGGGAAATCAAGAAGACCAGGGAAGCCGGGGAACACAGAGAAACCCAGGAACATCAAAAAGACCGGGAAAGACCAGGGAACATCAAGAAACCATGAACACTGGGGAAGACCGGGGGAAAAACAGAGAAGAAAGGGAAACATCAAGAAGCCCAGGAAGACTAGGGAACATCAAGAAGCCCAGGGAATATCAGAGAAACCGGGGAAAAACCCAAAGGGAAATATCAAGAAACCAGGGAAGACCGGGGAACATCAAGAAACCAGGGAATATCAGAGAAACCAGGAAGACCGGGGAACATCAGAGAAGACCGGGGAACACCAGAAAGACCGGGGGAACATCAGAAAAACCAGAGAAGACCATGGAACATCAAAAGACCGGGAAATCAGAGAAGCCCGGGAAAACCCGGGGAACATCAGAGAAACCGGGAACATCAGAGAGACCGGGAAAACAGGGAACACGAGAAGACCATGAACACTAGGGAAGACCAGGGAAATCAGAGAAGACCAGGGACGACAGGGAACATCAGAGAAAAACCAGGGAAATCAGAGAAACCAGGGAAAGACCAGGGAACCCCAGAAAAAACTAGGAAAGATCGGGAAACCCAAAAAGGGGAAGACCAGGGAAACCATGAACACTAGGGAAGATCGGGGAACACAGAGAAGCCCGGGGGAAAACCAGGGAACATCAAAAAGACCAGGGAAGACCAGTGAACTCAAGAAGACCAGGGAACATCAAGAAGACCGGGGAACTAAAGAAACCAGGAACATCAAGAAGACCGGGGAACATCAGAGAAACCGGGGAACATCAGAGAAGACCGGGGAAAAACAGAGGGACTAGGGAAGACCGGGGAACACAGAAAGCCCGGGGGGAACATCAGAAAAGCCCAAAGACCAGGAAACACAGAAAAGACCAGGGAAACCAGGAACACAAGAAGACCAGGAAGACCAGTAACATAGGGAAATCGGGGACATCAGAAAGACCAGGGAACATCAGAGGAAGACCAGGGAAACATCGAGAAACCTTTGAACTCAAGAAGACCAGGGAACACAGAGAAGACCGGGGAACCAGTGAACACTGGAAGACAGGAACACAGAAAACCAGGGAACATCAAGAAGACAGGGAACATCAAGAAGCCGGGGAACCATTAACACTGGGGAAGACGGGAACATCAAAAAGACCGGGGAACTTTCAAAGAAACCGGGGGAACATCAAAAAGCCCAGGGAACATCAGAGAAGCCCCAGGGAAACCAGGGAACATCAGAGAAGCCAGGAAAGACCATGAACACTGGGGAAAACGGGGAAACCATCAGAGAAGCCCAGGGAACACAGAGAAACCAGGGAAACACAAGAAGCCAGGGAACATCAGAGAAACCAGGGAAGCCCAGGGAACACAGAGAAGACCGGGGAACACAAAAGACCAGGGAACACAGAAAACCGGGGAACATCAAGAAGCCCGGGGAACCCCAGTGAACACTAGGAAGACGGGGGAACATCAGAGAAGACCAGGAACATCAGAGAAGACCGGGGAACATCAAGAAAACCAGGGAACTCAGAGAAGCCCGGGGGAACATAAAAGACCGGGGGAAAACATCAAGAAGCCGGGAACATCAGGAAACGGGGAAGCCCATGAACACAGGGAAGACCGGGGAACATCAGAGAAGACCGGGGAACATCAAGAAGCCCAGGAACTAAAGAAAGACCAGGAAACCATGAATACTAGGGAAGATCGGGGAAAAACAGAGAAAAATGGGAACTCAAGAAGCCCGGGGAAGACTGGGGAACATCAAGAAAAGACCGGGGAAGACCGGGGAAAAACAGAGAAAACCAGGGTAAACAAGAAGACCGGGAAGCCCGGGGAACACAAGAAGACCAGGAACACCAAGAAACCAGGGAACACGGGGAAAAAGGGGGAACACAAGAAGACCAGGGAACATCAGAGAAGACCAGGGAAGACCAGGGAATATCAAGAAGACCAGGGAAGACCGGGGAACATCAGAGAAAAACCAAAAACACTGGGAAGACCAGGAACATCAAAAAGAAAAGGGAACATCAAGAAGACCGGGGAAGACAGGGAACACAGAGAAACCAGGGGAATACAGAAAAGACCAGGGAAGACCAGGGAAAATCAAAGACCAGGGAAGACCGGGAACCAGAGGACCGGAATATCAAGAAGACCAGGGAAGACCAGGGTACATCAGAGAAGTTTCAGGAACACCAAGAAAGCAGGGAATATCAAGAAGACCGGGGAAAGACCAGGAATATAAAAGACCGGGGAAGACCAGGGAACATCAGGGAAGACCAGGGAACAACAGGAAGACCAGGGAAGACCAAAGGGAAAAAAAATATCAAAGAAGACCAGGAAACCAGGGAATACAAGAAGACCAAGAAGACCAGGGAACATCAAGAAGACCGGGGGAACTCAGAAAAACCGGAAAGACCAGGGAAATCAAGAAGCCCATTGAACACAGGGAAGCCAGGGAACATCAAAAAGACCGGGGAACTCAGAAAGACCAGGAAGACTAGGGAACATCAGAGAAGACCGGGGGAAGACCAGGGAAACCCCGGAAGACCAGAAGACGGGAAACTCAGAGAAGACCAGGAAAACCAGGAATATCAGAAAACCAGGGAAGCCCGGGGAAAAACAGAGAAGCCCCGGGGAACACAGAGAAACCGGGAAAGCCCCGGGAACATCAAGAAGACCATGAACACTAGGGAAGACCGGGGAACATCAAAAAAAAAGGGGAACATAAGAAGACCAGGAAGACTAGGGAACATCAAGAAGACCGGGGGAATAACAGAGAAACCAGGGAAACAAGGAATACAAGAAGCCCGGGGGAAAGACCAGGAACACAAGAAGACCGGGGAATATCAGAGAAACCGGGGAAGACCAGGGAACATCAGAAAGACCAGGGAACCCCAAAGAAGACCAGGAACATCAGAAAAGACCAAGAAGACCAGGAACATCAGAGAAACCAGGGAAATCAAAAACCAGGAAGACCAGGAACACAAAAGACCGGGGAACACAAGAAACCGGGAAAGACCGGGGAACACAAGAAACCAGTGAACAGGGGGAAAACCCGGGAAAACACAGAGAAGACCAGGGACGACTGGGGAAACTCAGAGAAACCCGGGGAAAAAATATCAGAGAAGACCAGGAAACCAGGGAAA